ACGCCCCAAATTTGCCCGAAAATTTCCCAAAAATACCAGGCGAACAGAAATGCCCAGAAGGTCGACGCAGAATATTTTTATCTGTCGAAAAATTTCATTGCATACCCTCACGGGGCGCCCTGGTTGGAGGCGTCGCCCCAAATTTGCCCTAAAATTCCACTCAAATACCAGGCGAACAGAAATGCTCAGAAGGTCGCTGAGTGCTTTGAATAAAAATATTCATTGCATACCATTAAGGGGCAGAAATGTAACTCACTCAAAATGAGCACTGTTAACTAGCCACTCATGTAATGTAAAATGAGCACTGTAAGCCGGCTGTTCAACAACAGCGGCAGCTGCAGCTAATGTAAAAGGGCTCCTGAAAGAAATAGCACACATATTTTTGGACCATTTCAATGCAAATTTTGCAGGAATCTGATCCTTTTGGTTCGCCAGGACTATATCGATGGTATGGCATAACCAAGGATATGCTAGTCAACTAGGAACCATGATGCTGGGGGCGGCTGTTAAAGGAAAGCATACATATTGTGGACCCTGTTCCATTTGCATTTTGCGAGGAGAGCTATGTCCTTTAGGTTCTCTAGGACTATATCCATAATATGGATGCATTGTGATCATTTGCCCATTAAGTGTTGTCCGCGGGCAAAGCAGTGTTGGCTGAAATATACAAAATGAAAAATATATTAGTTTTTGCAAAACGAAAATACATAGGTTTGATTAGACATGCCTTTAAGGATTCGGAGGGCTTTAAAATCGACTGAATTGTACAAAATGTTCATTTAAGAATCGACGCGGCGTCCATTTTGTCCAAAATCCGTGGCATGAAACAATTACCCAAGGTCCATTAGTTACCAACGTTATTGAATGTTTTCTTCTGCAAATTAAAAAAAAAAACAAGAGGTTCTAGTCGGGAGCTCCCGACTAGGGAATACCCTAAATCCTCTTGCAACATCAAATGCATATATATATTATTAGAACGGACGGACATGGCTAGATCGACTCGGCTATTGATGCTGATCAAGAATATATATAATTAATGGGGTCGGAGGTGCTTCCTTCTGCCTGTTACATACATTCAGATTTTGCACAAATACAATATACCCTCATACCCATTTTTAATGGGTTCAGGGTATAATAAATTAGCATTTTGTAAGCTTTTAATATCGGTTGAATTAAGTCCGACTACGGAAATATATAGTTTTAGCAGTTCATAAAAGTCTTCAACATCAGAGACAGATTACGAACACACTTGGATTTCGGAACCGAGAAGCATTTAGCAAGCACTTTAATGTAACTTTGTAAATATCTGGTCAAACCTCAGAAGTCGCATTTTTTTCATGTCAAATGATATTTCCGATACGGACGATATTAGCGATAAGCCGAGAACTTTACTTTATAATATACTTTAATATTTTGTTTTATGCGACGTGAGGAGAAAATAACCATTAAATAAACCACAAACATTCGTGAGTCTATAAAATTGATGGACTTCTTCAAATTGTGATAGCATTATTGTTTAACTATATTTACGATTTTCTTTATGGCTATTAACACTGCCGACAAGTCCGCACAGAATTTAACTAAAACGAAATCGACAAAAGTCGGCGCACAGCAACTCGAGTAAGCGCCGTTCAAAGTCAGATAACGCATAAGAAATTACACACAAGCATAAAAAACATACATACGTATATATCAATTGCGGAAACACACACCCAAACATATGTATGCATGTCTGCAGAGAGAATCGGCTTATCTGCTTTTGCATCACATCGACAAAACGGTATAACAAAATAATAACAGGCGCGCAGCACAACACAACATGCCCAGTTGACTAATAGGGCCGCACTGTCATCGAATTAAGTTGCGCAGGTCCACAAAAGCGGCGCTCAGAAAGAAGAGCACTCGAGTTATTTTTTAGGACCAATCAGCGATCAGCAACAAATAGAATCGTGAGCACGTGAGCGTAAGCACGAAAATTGACAGCGAACACCCACACGAACAGTTGACTGCTTATCTCTGGCTTTGGCTCATCTCTGCGCATTCTCCTGCTTGTGTGTGTGTGTGTGAGTGTGTGCTAAGCAATGCAGCTCCCCACTCGAATTTCGATCGCTTGCTGATTTTCTGTGCGCCGGTTTTTTCGTCCGCTCAAGTCACTCACAATTAGAGACTCTGTTAGCTCGAGCTCAGCATTTAATATGAACGTAGTTTTTTTAGGAGCTCTACACTATCGTTTGGCATAAACAAAGGGAAAATCTAAATTTTAAGCCTAATTGACAAAAGAGCACGATTTTTCTCAAAATAAAGGTTGCTTTTTTGTGAATATCTCGGCCAAACAATTTCCGATTTTGTAATTTTCTACATTTTTGAATTCGTGCGGAGCCCTACTATCAATTGGCATTCGAACATTTTAAAAATCGATGGCTTCAAAAAAGTTATTGACCAAAAACCAATTCCTTTTCTAAAGTCAACCTTTTATAATGATTCTTTGGAATATGAATTCTGAGCTCGTACGAATTCCTACTACTTATCACTGCATTGTTCTCAAATTTCGTCAAAATATAAATCTAAATTTTGACTAAAAAGGACCAAAAAGCAATTTTCTCAAAATCAGGTTCAGTTTGTTGTAGCAGAAAGCTTAGCTGAGGGATTTTCGCTCGAAGAGTCCAACAAATTTATATAATAATAGCTCGTCAATGTTCCATATTGTTGTATGCTTTAATTTACCCGATTTGATGGCATTTTGGGCTGGAGCATTTGTGCGCACCAAATGCGATTTGTTCTATCAGAAATTTTGCCAATTGCCCTTATAAAGTCGTGTTCTTGAAATTTACGCAACATTTGGCGCTTCTTTTGACGCGTGATCTTGACGTTTGCCGATGGCGTCAACCTGCCCCGCTATATATATATATATATCGGCCACGCCTCCCACTCACCCACCCAGCTATGTTACGCCCACTCGAGGCGAGGATCCATGTGGAACGTATCAGTTTTTACATTGTAATACCCATTGAAAATGTGTTAATGGGGTATATTGTTTTTGTGCAAAGCAAAGCTCTTTCTAAGATATATATATATTCTCGATCAGCCTCGGAATTTAAAAAGTCTAGAAACTCCAGATGTGAACTGGATAGCAACTGTGGTCGATAACTCTTACTACTTCCGAAATATCGATAAATATCGATTTAAGTTGTAGCTAGATTCACTCTGCTTGGTATGGCATATACAAATGCAGAACTTGCCCCAATTCGATAACTTCTCCATTTCACTTATTTTCAAAGTTAGGCCGACGCGTTTTGGGATGCACACACTTTGACATACATTTTATGAGCATTGAAAATTTCGCAAAGATTTGACTTCGATTAGCCAAGTTAAATGAGAGTGCATTTCTCATATGGCGGGGGTAAAGTAAGAAAAAGACGCTGCGCATGCGTCGTGTGTGTGCGTTTCTGCTGGGTAGGGGGTATCTCCTAGTCGAATGCTGGTCTTCTACCCTACTCTGCTGAGTAGAGGGTGTCTGCTAGTCGACTTCTGGGTAGAGGGTATCTGCTGAGTAGAGGGTATCTGCTGGGTAGAGTATATCTGCTGAGTAGAGGGTATCTGCTAGTCGAGTGCTGAGTATAGGGTATCTCCTGAGTAGAGGGTATCTGCTAGTCGAGTGCTTACACGCTTTTGGTTTGGTTTTAAGTGCGTTTCACGTTTTAATTCCAATTGTAAGAACTTCCAATTTGGGCGACAGACCGACATTTTGCCACACCAAGATCGGGCTGTAACTGTGCGAGTGTGTGTGTGTGTAAGTGTGTGCGAGTGTGTGCTCGACTTTCATTTGGGTCTGACTTGGCGAAGCGTATAAAAGCGCCGCGCGAAGGCTTCAACGTTTCAGTTGCTTTTGAAAAGTTCGTGCACTCTGCAAGTTCGAGTTGGATAATTTCGGAATAATGTCTTATATTGGCAACGTATCGGATCTGGAGTGCGACAAGAACGAGTTCTCCAGGCCGCGTCCTGCGGGCATCGTCACCAAAATGGCCGCCCACAAGCTGTCGTCGGAGCCGAAGTGGACCGACAAGCGCGAGGATGATTCCGACTCCGAAGTTTCCTCGCCCGACAATTTTCTAACCAAAGGTCGCCGCTCGATCCGAACAAAAGATAGCATCTATTACACGCTAATAATATCTTATAAATTTCCTTTACACTTAAAAAAAATGGGTTGCTACAATTTAGAGAACTGAACATTTTTCTGCTCCTTAGAAAATAATTTCGAATAACGATTAACACGCTGATCTGATAATATCTTTCAAATTTTCCTTTTTGCTGTTTAATCCTACACTCAACAAAAATGTGTGAAATGAAAATTTGTTCTGCTTTTTAGAAAATTTGTTTGTAAAATTTCGATTTCAAGGCAGTTTTTGTAAATTGCGAAAAACAGTTTGGAAGCGTATTTTTTATTTTGCCCTTTCAAGGGTTTAACAACAAAAAGTTTCGAATCTATGAAATATATTATATATATATTTCCAAACAGACGAATCCTTTCATCGGTTGCCATATTTCTATTTCGACGGATCGAATTCCTATATCACATATAGTGTATATAGTTACATTAGAAACAATTAGATGCTGATATGAAAGACGCCTTTGCTTCTCAACATTTCCCGACAAATCAATGCTCCATTTGGCTAAATCCCTTTCAACATAGACTCTATATATAATTCTCTTACAAAAGTCCAGATATATATATATAGCACATCTGAGAAACTTTTATGCGCATTAACTCTTCGTCATTCCGATGTTTAGACTTATTGCATGCTTTTTTAATTGCAAGTCCTTGAAAAGTGAAACCTAACCTAAAACTTTGAAGGGAAACCCAAATTTAACGAGCGCTACTTTGGCGAACTGCCCGAAATTGCACATATATATATATATAGCGAAAGCTTATATTTGAGAGATTATCCCAAATCTCCCTCTGATTTAGTCGCAGTTTCATGAAGTTTAACTGAGATACTAACTTGAGCTTGTCTGGAACTTGCAGGCGCCTTTCTGCTGACGCCCTCGTATGAGCTGTCCATGGAGCGGGCCGCCTTGATATGCGAGAAGATGAGCTTCAAGGGCTGCTTCAGCCTGACGAAGACGGCGACGGGCATTCTGTTCAAGTTCTCACATCCGGACGATTATCAGGCGGTGTTCAAGAAGGGTTTCCACAAGGTGACCGGCGCACGTTTCTATCGCAAAGTAAGTGGACAATCCGATGGACAGTGTTGCCAACTGCTGCCCGAAAAATAGCTGAAACTAGCCGACAAAAAGAAGCCAAATTAGTTACAAGCTAAAATGGCCAGCTTTGGCTAGCAAAGCAGCTGGGCTGGCAACACTCTAAAAATAAATAAATATCTCCCTCTCTCTCTCTCTCTCTCTCTCTCTCCCTCTCTGTCTCGCTCTCCCTTCCGCTGAATTCTAAATTTCTTTCAAAACATTTTCCACATTTTTGCAGCAAACATTCTCGCGAAGCGTGAGTATATTGGCGACACCTTGGCAACAGCTTCTCCTCCTCCAACTTGTCTCCTTCCCAAAAAATAACCCATATATCTCGAATCATATATGAAACTCGCTCTCTCTCTCTCTCTCTCTCTCTCGCTATATACATATATATCTTGTCAATCTGTGCGATCTTGTGGATTCCTTGCAGATTGCCATACCGTGTCGGCCACGCAAGACCTTCACGCTGTACGTGCTGGATGTGCCGGAGGATCTGCCCGTGGAGGATATACGGCATGCCATGTACAAGTTCGACTCGGTGGTAGAGGTCGTCCGTCTACACATCTACTCCAGCCCCAGCCAGGCGGGCGGCGGCGCGGACAAGGTTGAAGGTGAGCAGCTGATCCAGAAACCAGCATCTCCCCACCCGTTGCCGTTCCAGACGCTGCGCCGCGCGGCCATGCGAAGTAATGTACAGAAACCAATTGACCCAAAGCACACGCCCACACATGCTCACGCCCACAGCTTGGCCAGAAACTCACGTCCAGCTACAAATCTTTCAGGCAGCAGCAGCAGCGCCAAAAGCCTCGTCAGCAGCAGCGGTGGCGGCGGCGGCGGCAGCGGCGGCGGCGGAGGAGGCGTTGGGATTGTGGGCGAGGCCATCGAGAAGGCGGAGCGTCCCGAGCGGCGCGAGCTGCCGCCAGCTGTCATACGGATCACGCTTGCGTCCATGGATGAGTACAACATTTTGCTGCAGAACGGCCTAAACTTCTACGATGCCACGTTCTTTCCCACCGAGGCGAACATCTCCCTGAAAGGCGCCAAAATTGACTACAAGCGTCGGTAAGAGCTATAACCCCCTCTCTCCACCCTCACTCTCCCTCTCTCTCTCTCTGTGTCTGTCTCTATCTAGCTTCTAATTCCACATTATTTCAAGTATCTGAAGCAAACTTTTTTATTTTATTCGATAGTTAAGTTTCCCTTTTTGATAATTATCGATAAATATCGATTTTGAGATTAGGTTTTTTGAGCATAACTCGAGAACTAACAGAGCTAGCTACACCAAACTTGGTATTCGGCCGCATCATGTACATTAAACACAGATCACAAATATTTCACTTTTTTGGCCACCTGCTCGCAATCCTACAAGAAGTCCAATTAAAAAACTAGAGCTTTTTAAGACCTGAAAATATAGTTCTCATAGAGTGTGCATGGAGAGAAAATGAATAAAGGGTATCTGCTAGTCGATCACTCTCGACCAGAGCACACTTTAACTTTCGACTTTCTTAAGTTAAGTACAACAAAACTTGGACCAAGACTATGTAACAGATGTGCTCCCTCCCTCTCACTTCCCCCTCTCTCGCGATCTTCTCATCAGTCTCCCCCCTTTCTCCCTCTCTCTTTCTGACAGCATGCTGGATGGCTCGATACCGGGGCGTGTGCGCGAGCTGCTGCCAGTATTCGATGCAGCTGGCTTCTGCAAGCTGCCGGCGCCCACGAGCAAGCTAATTAAGCCGCCGAGGTCATAAGCAAAGACGACGGCGACGACGGCGACGACCCCACATGTTCCGGCTAGATAGGCAGCCAGACAGACAGACAGACCCGACCCCAAAACCCATTGACGACAATTCTCTATTCGATTTTGAACGGATGCTTCGAACGTTTCCGCTGCCAACTACATCTATAATAATTCCCATTTTTGGCTAAAATCAAAAACGAAAAAAAAACAACAAAAACAACAAAAGCTAAACCAACATTTACTCTACTTTTTTTTTGTCTATTTTTTTTTTGTGCCTAGTTTTATTATTAAAGGCCCATAAAAGGCATAGCGCTTAATTTGTTTCGATTGTCTAACAGTAAAAAAAAAAAAGAAAAATAATAATAATATAAATAAAAATGATGAAAAACTATTTTCAATGCCAGACGGAAATCAACTAATTCAATTAATTTTCGAATTGCCAGACACACGTTGATAATTTGTAAAAAAAAAAACATATATATATATATAAATAAATATTGATTATTTATATATATATATATATATATATGTGATATAGTATATATATCTGAAGAGCTGCCTCTTACCTCTGAGAGCTTTTAGCTGGGCGCGTGGCAAATTCCGGCTTCGTTTCGATTTGTTATCGATTTCGGCAAACTGTAAAATCGATCAAAATCGATTTGTAGACGCGGTTGACCTCGAGTTATTGATTATGCGATTAGTTTACACTAAACATGGAGACACTCGTATAGTCGTAACGCCGATCTGGTACATTTCACTTTTACACGGTTTGAACTGCGTTGGCGTGCCTGTTGGTTCAAACCCGCCCGTTAAAACAGCCGTGTGAGTGTGTGTATGTGGTATGAGTGTGTGTGTGTGTGTGTGTGTGTGTGTGAATGTATGTAGGTAAGCCTTAACCTCCATGTCTCCACCTCCAGCTCAGATTAATAGCATTTGTCTTTTAAGTTCCATTGTTTTTAACACTTGTTGAAATCGTTCTAGTTTACATTTTGCAGTTAACATATTATGTGACACTAGGTAGTTCACATCGCACCTCCTTGTTCAGATTATAAGCACATGTTGCTGTCCTTGAAAGGTGCCTTAATATTTTGTTTTCCTATTCAAATCGTTCTAGTTTATATTTTGCAATTAATTTGAAACCAAATGAAGTTCTCACCTCCATGTTCAGATTATAAGCAACTGTCTCTGTCTGTTTGAAGATCTTCCTGGTTTTTGCCTCTTACCGATTTTGTTCTGGATGTTCTGAATGTATTAAGTGTGACCAGCCAGTTGCAAAGTTCAGTGAATACTTTGCAACCATGGTCACATTATTGGCTTACGCTAAGTGCGATGTGTGTGTGAGTGTGTGTGCATGTGAGTATGTGTGTATCTATGCATGTATGTATGTGTGTGATGATCTGATTAGTTTGAAGAACAAGCAAATTCGTGGTTTCGTTTAATACTTGTCGCTTGTTGTTTATTTTGTTTGCACTTTATTTAGGTAATTGATTTAGGTATACACAATATACATACATATATATATATATATATGGAATATATATACATACGCATAGATCTTGATTGATTTAACAGACAAAATTGTTGCACAAAGTTTAACACAAAGACATAAGTAAAAGCACACGCACACACACACAAGTGTGTCTCTATGTGTGCGTGGCATGCGTATAGAATACACACACATACACACATATATATGCATATATATATATATGCATATATGCATATGCATGTATATATACATATATATATATATATATGTATATAGGTATAAATGTATTCTCGTAAGCATATAATTTATCATACTGCAGAATGTCTTGTATATATTTATATATATATATATATATAGATAATTAATAATTGATTTAAAGCATATAAGTAGTATATTTGATATACACATATATATGTATCCAGGTGCATATATGTATATATGTATAGGTATAGTATGTAAATATATATATATCATATAGGTAGCATATAGTCTGTTTAGGAAATACTCTTCGAATATAAACGAATCAAACATGTGAACTCGTTAAATAGTTACTTTTATCTTCTTCCTCTTCTTGAGTTTGTGTTGGAAAAGCAAAAAAAAAAAAAAAAACGTACCAGTGTTGCCAACTGTCGCTTGAACAAAAGAAAACTAGCTGAATTCACAAAATGGTAGCTAAAAATAGCTGCTTAGCTTTTTAAGCACAACAAAAAAAAAAAAAAACAGCCAAATCGATTGAAATTTTCTGTTATCGACTGAAATCTTTTGAAGAGGAGCCAAGTTTAGCTAGAAAATGGCTGAATTGGCAACACTGTTCATCTTCATGATCATTATCATCATCATCATCATCATCTTCGTATATATGTATATATGTAATAAAGAAATATAATAATCAACGTTTAACAAACAAAAAAAAAACTAGCAATAAAATACGCACACACACGCACACACACACACACGCATTGGCACACACACATTCGCGCACACACACACCCAGTAAAATGTACATTTAGAAAGTTTAAAGCGAAAATCGAGCGACACAGACAAAAAGGACGCGACGGACACGTAATTAGTATACAAAATATTTTGTTGTTGTTGTTGCTGCTGTTGCTGTTGTTGTTGTTGTTGTTGTTGTTGTTGTTGTTGTTGTAGTTTCTAGTTTCTAGTTTCATTAAGTTTAATACACAGAGTGCACAATGTTGTCCTTCTCGACGAGCAGGCGCACCTTCATGCAGCCATCGGAGCCGCAGGAGAAGAGACGTCCAAACGGATCAACGTAGACCTGGCTAACGCCCTGGCCGGTGTGCTTGAAGAATCCGTTCTTGGCATGCTCATGGGGGAAGGTGTTGATCAGCATGAACTGGTTCATGTCCCATATCTGCAAGCGAATCAGATACATATATAGTGTATATAGATATGGATAGATATAACGCACCTTAATGTCGCCCTCAATGGAGCCCGTGACAAAGAACTCCTCGTGCGGATCGAGTGCAATGCACTTGATGGTGCTATCGTGTGCCTGTCGAAAGATTGATCGATTGATTGATTGATTGATCGGTAAAGGAATAGATGCGATTGATCAAGACTCACCTGATAGCGATGTCGCAGTGTGCGTTGGCGCACATCGAAGACGCAAACGTCGCCGCGCTTGCCGCAGGAGATGAGCACCTGGTGCTGGGGCGCAAAGACCAAACAGGATGAGCCCTGGTCGTGACAGGTGAAGGCTGCCGAAAAAAAAAACGAACAATAATCAGAGAAAGAAGCGGAGATACCCCGAACCCAGTTTGCCAAAATTCCAGCCTATTTCTCATCTTCCCTTTGCCCCAAACTATATTCGCGAAATGTTTTCCTGATCTTAATGAAAGGCACACGAAAAGTTCGCACATACCATACTCTGCCTGTATCTGTTTGCGGCACGCCAAAATTTGAATGCCCTTGCAGACTGAATATATGATATAGTGCTCCGATCCGTTTCCGACATATGTACTGCATAGAAACAGAAAGAGGAACGAATGCAAGGTTTCATGACGATAGCTTTCAGACTGAGAGACCAGTTCGCATAGAAACAGATAGACGGACAGACGGACGAACGGAAAGGCTTGGATATATATCTTTATATCTTTCTATATAACCTACATCTATATACCATATATCTATATACTAAATGGGGTCGCAGATGTCTCCTTCTATTTGTGACACTCTCTTCGAGACGAAGTTATAGTACCCTTTGCAAGGGCATAAAATTGTATTGTGGGCAATGGAAGGAGGCATCCAAAATGTCAAAATTTCCCAAAGTGTGCATACTAGATACAAGGCTTCCACGTTCAGTGTAAATAGCTCTTAACGCTTTCGAGCTGCTTGAAAAACAAAAGTCTCTAAATAGATATCTATTGAGAAGATATTGAACGCACGATAAAATCATTTTTCCTAGACATTATTCAAATTTGAAATCTAAAACCTTTGCAGTTCCCCGTTCAACAAAGACGGATTAATTGGCTGGACGCAGCTCCTTCTCATAATCCAAGATTTTTCTTGCTGCCTCTTGGCTACATTTTATGGGGTTACGGGCTTAAAGAGAGCCAGCTTTTGGAGCAGATGCCACTCACCCGAGACACAGGACTTCTTGTGCGGCAACAGTGTGTCCCAAATGTTAATGTTCTTGTTCTCGGAACTTTGGCCAGCTGCAAAGGAATAGAAAAAAGCATTGGATGAGCAAAGCGTTTAATTAATTGACGGGGAAAGGGGCAAAAACTTACCGCTGGCCAGCAAGCTGCAGGAGCCGAGGAATACGAAATCGGAGAGCGCCTTATTGTGGCACTGGTAGGTCTAAGGATCAGACAAAAGGATAATAATAATACAAATAGTTGCGCTACTATGCTGCACTCACTATGAAGGAGCGATTGTTCTGGGAGGCGATGCCCGCCTGCCACAGGCTCAGATTGCCGTCGCCATCGCCGATGCCGAACTTGTTGCCTTGCTCGGAGAAGCGACAGCGCGTAACCTTGGCAAAGGTGCCGGAGGTGCGCGGACAGCAGACGGGCTGCTGGTGACCCCACTCCCAGATCTGCACAGAGCCATCCTGGCCGCCAGTCAAATAGAGCGGCATCAGCGGATGTGCGCTCATACGCTTCACATTGTCCACCTTGTGGCGCAGCACCTGCGAAGGAGCAAGCATTAGTATATGGTTAATGTCCGGAAAAGTGGTCCAAGTAGCCCACTCACCATGGATGTGCCGCGGCCCGACTGTGAGGCACTCTGCGTGCTGACGCTCGCCTCGCTGAACGCGCTACCAGCTCCGAATTGAGCCCTGTTTGGTAAAGGGAAGGCACAATTAGAATTGGGCTAAAGGAAGTTTGTTTTGGCTACTCACTGATCCTGCGACTGGATGATGAGAAAAGCGGAGCTGTTTGTGTCCGCATCTTTGGACAAATTCATCATATCATATTCGCACTCGTCCTCATACCAATTGGGCGATTCGAGCAGCAGCGATATATCGAACTCCTGTATCTCGCGCGGATTGGCAAATGCAATCATCGAGGAGCTGTTGTTCTTCAAGCAGAATGTGAGAATCGATTCGTGATCCTTGTGTATAATACGTATATGATCCGTATTCTCGTTAGTCGAATGCGATTGGCCTGTCCAAGCGGGAGAGAAACGGAGACAGCGAGAGACAGAGACAGAAAGAGGGAGAGAGAGAGAGAGAGGGAGAGAGAATGATGAGCAATGAAATAGAAAGAGATATAAGCACTTAATATAAATTATAATTACGTCAAGCTTAGTTTAATATATATTTAATTATATTCTATTTATACGTAAAAAATATTTAAATATTTATTTAATACGAAAATTATATTTAGATATTTATATTGTAAGAAAAATATATTGAAATAATTATATTATAAGGAAAAATATAATAAAATATTTATGCTATAAGAAAAATTCAATCAAGTGTTCATATAATTAAGAAATATATGTATTGAAATATTTATAGTTGTATTTTTCTTATAGTTTGCAACATGCGCCGGCAATTGCCGGCTGATAACCAGGTGTTAAGCTCATGTTAAGTGCTTGACACAAGGGTGTTAATTGCAGCTTCTTCTTTAGATTACGGTATCTTATCGAGTCTATTATTTAGTAATTGGCTTAAAAGCAGTTATTTAGTTAACAGCCGCCCACTTAACAGTGCCGAAAGCAGTGCAACTTTAACATTTACCCAAGCAGTGCGCAGTTAAACTCAAAAATCGTACGTAAATTTGGTGCGCAAAAAAAAAAACAACAATTACAATCATATAAGAAAATATAATTACTTTTTTGTTTAATACATTTCACTGGTAACGCAATCAATACTTAAGCGACACACATAATTTAACAATGTTTTTTTTTAATAAAAAACAACAACAACAACAAAATATGTAAAAGAAAAATACTATTCCTGTCAAACTGGAAGCTTTGTTTTTTTGTTTGTAAACCTAAAATTAAGTAACTTCTGCCACCTGAATTAACTATTAAAACCGAACAACAAGAAACAAACAAGAATTGACAACAATTAGATAACAATTTACAGCCGGGCTGTAAATGCTTAACATGCCTGGCAAATTAACAGCCGGGCTGTAAATGTTCTCCGTAAATGTTAAGATGCACCGTTAACTAATTAAAAGATATGCATACATATATATATTGTATATATAGATATGCATGTTAAGTATCTAGCAGCTACTTTATCGCGAGGATAACTATCAGAGGAATTTGCAACAACAACAACTATAATAGCAACATTTTGGTACGGAATACACACCTTCGTCGGTGTCGTTATCATTGTGATGATGATTGTGATGGTGATTGTGTGCGCTGCGTGCATTCGCCTCGGTGCTCCTGCCGAAGATGCTCTTGATGAACACCTCCTGGGTGGGCTCCTGGCGAACCAGATAGTTCCACAGCCGCCGGATCGGCCCCGCAGCGGAGCCCGATATGAACGGCGTGTTGTCCTTGTTGAGCAGCGATCGATACTTGTGTATGGCCAGGCCATTGATGCCGCTCTCCGCATAGCAGCCGGGTATATAGTGCCGCGAGGGTGGACCGCGATTTATCAAATCGTTCAGGGCGAACTCCTGCCAGCGATTCAGGGTGCGCAGCACCTCGTGCGACAGCGGACTAATCACGGGCAGATCTGCAACAAAAGGGCACACGAATCAGACATAAAGGAAATATCTTATCTTATATATAAGGTAGGAGGAGACGGGCGCTTTTCTCACCCTGCAGCTCGATGCCGGCGACTTTGACAAACTCCTGAATTTTGTGGGTGCTAAACTTGATGAGCGCCAAACGGAGTATGCTCCACGAATACGACATGGGATTGGTGTGCTCCGTATTATCCTTGGCCTTGAGTTGTGTGCGACTCACATTGACATCATCATCGTCGTCCTCCTCCTC